TGTAAGAATGGTGTTATTGTTCTTGTCTGTTGACCAGTTCTGTAAGAATGGTGTTATTGTTCTTGTCTGTTGACCAGTTCTGTAAGAATGGTATTATTGTTTGTTGATGATGACAAAGTGCTTAAACTTTTATACCAGATAATTATCCTTAATGCTGTAGGCCAAATGCAAAGCAGGTCTGGCTTCAATCGAATCGATTCAAAATCTTTGGTTTCCACTCCTTCATCGGGATTCGGTCCATGTTTTTGACCAGAGGTTCAGCGTTGACCTTTTCCTCTCTCTCAGAAATTGTTATTTTGTTTGAACTGTTACTGAATCATAGCTAATAACCCTTGTTACATCACTCACAGTGTGTTAAATTTTGTCCATTGTCCGCAGTTTTAATTAACATACCCTTTTTGTGCCATGTCCAATCAGTAACGTCAAATGACTCACGTGTGACTTTAGTTATTAAACTGGTAACGCAATTCGTTACGTCACGCGCTTTACTTTGAAGTTTCGTTACTAAAATAGTCAGGTTATCGGTGACGTCATATGACTTATACATATATATATATACATATTACTAAACTGGTCACGTGATAAATGACGTCACGTGGTCTTCGTGTATCTTTAGTTACTAAATTAGACGCGTGATCAGTGACGTCACATGTATTGAGATTTTTTTTTTTTACCTTATGTAAGATTTTTACCTGATCCAACGCCAACTTGAGCTCAGCAGACTGTTGTTGACCAGCAAGTACCATGTCTCTGCTAAAGTCATGCATGCTGAGGTCATTGATGTAAAGTCCTGTTTGCATCATGCCCTCCAAGTTTCGCATTCTGGGGGAACAAACAGAGAGAGAAACCTTGGAACAAATACTGAAAAATGTCTAACCGAAACTAATATATATATATATATATTTATCATATTTAAAAGTGTCTACTGTATGCTATTTGGATACTTATCTTTTAACGCTAAATGGTTCTCATAAAATGTGACTTTCTTCGTTATTTTAGAGAACGTACTGTTTCGGAAATAAATATTTAACTTTATTTTCAACTAATAAAGTAAGCTGTGTGCGATCTCACTTTACTGTTTCGGAAATAAATATTTAACTTTATTTTCAACTAATAAAGTAAGCTGTGTGCGATCTCACTTTACTGTTTCGGAAGGAAGAGTTTGTACATTAATTTACTTCCGGTTTGTTTTTTGTCACGCGATTAATATGCATATCGTTTCTTTACGTAAATTTCAATTTCTTTCGAAACTTTTATTAACATGACACTCCAAACCAAAACGTTCTAGTAATACCCAGACTTTTTTTTAATAATTAAAGAGAAGGGTGCTGTCTGTTTGTCGTTTTCCTTAAGTTTGGATGTAAAGTGTTTTTTAAGTCTTTACATAACATCAACTAATACGGTGTAGACTGGCGAATCTTTGTTCGTTAGCAGAAAATAGGTTATATAAGAAATGAGTACTAAAACTAACAAGTGTAGTGGCTGAGGTGTCAGGCTGCGGGTCGGAAATTCCAAGGTTCGCGCTGAACAGTTCACACTTTCAACTGTGGACTCGTTATACAAGTGACATCCAATTCAGTTCAAAGCTGGACAAAGCTTTGGTCACGGCTAGTGCTCGTCGGTAATCGAAAATGGATATATCTGAGCCCAGAGGGTCACTGACCTGCTTGTTTAGCTCAAGTTTCGCCAAAGATGCCGTTTTATCATCTTTTTTATTACATTTACTAGTACCAATATATGTTATGTTAAAAAAACACAGGTTCAACCTACTAGAAGTATATGATGTTTCTGACTTGACCTACTATTGACATATGATGTTTCTGACTTGACCTACTATTGACATATGATGTTTCTGACTTGACCTACTATTGACATAAGATGTTTCTGACTTGACCTACTATTGACATAAGATGTTTCTGACTTGACCTACTATTGACATATGATGTTTCTGACTTGACCTACTACTGACATATGATGTTTCTGACTTGACTTATTACTGACATATGATGTTTCTGACTTGACTTATTACTGACATATGATGTTTCTGACTTGACTTATTACTGACATATGATGTTTCTGACTTGACTTATTACTGACATATGATGTTTTTGACTTGACTTATTACTGACATATGATGTTTTTGACTTGATCAACTAATGACATGTGATATTTCCGACTTGAGCTATTACTGACATATGATGCTTTTGACTTGAACTGCTATTGACATACAGCCTTGGCCAAGATGTTTGCATATTTTGCAACAAATAAGATAATTATTATTAAGATGGAATACAAATACACTTGGTGCTGTCAAACTGAGAAATTCGTGTTATATTAAACATCTACACATGCAAGTTGTATAACGAGACAGGTTCTATGGACATCATAAACGATTATTAGAACAGCAAAAAAAATTTATCAGACACCTATATAAAGATTTTTAATTTAGAATTTCACCTATCATTACAAAACCTTACCAGACCATATATAATGACTAAATATAACATCAAATTACTATAAATAACGTCTGTAACCTTATATCAGTTCATACTAAACATTCAGTACTTGGTTGGTTCTCCTCGTACTCTAATAACCTCCACAAGGCAACATGGCATACTGTCGATGAGGTTATTGATGTAATCCACCGTGATTTCATCCTAACTTGTCACTAGAAGGCGCTGCAACTCAGCTACAGTAGCTGGTTTAGGGTTGTGGTTAGTAATTTTCCGACTCAGTTCTGCCCAGCAGTTCTCAATGGAATTACAATCTGAAGACTTTGCTAGTCATGGAAATCTTGTAACATCCTCCTAATCGAGATAATCCTGTACAATACGTGCATTGTGGGCAGTTGGATAATCGTCCTGAAACACAAAGTTATTGCCAAATCTTGCTCTAGAATATGGCAGAAATATTGTCTCCATGTGATGCCTGTAGAAGGCGCCATTGACGTTTCCCTGGAGAATATGAAGAGCAGTTTTTGCACCATGATGAATAGCTGCCTAAACATGTACTGCCCCACCTCCTGTGAAATACAGTCTTCCCTCATCTGTTCTCTACGCAAACGACGAACATGCATCCTACCACCAGCTTTAGCAAACAGGAAACAGGATTCATCTGAAGAAATGACATGTCGCCAGTGTCCCAACTGTAAGTTGGTATGCTGTCTTGTTCATGTAACATGGTGACGGCAATGAATTATGGTTAATATCGGTTTGCAAGCAGAACTTCCTGCAAAATGACTTTGTTTGGCCAGTCTCCTTTTTACTCTTCTTATGGATACCCTGGAATGAATGTGTTCATGCCATTCTTGTCGTAAAATGTTGCAAGACTTCTTTCGACCTTGACATGTTAACCTGTTAAACACAGTAATCTCGGGCAGTAGTGTTTCGGCGTCTACCAGTAGACTTTACTGGAACAACGTTTTCTGTAGTCCCATGAACGTTTCAGGATTCTGGATGCAGTACACTGGGGGAACCCTACCCTTCTGGCAATATCCATACCATTTCTGGACATGACGAACAATTTGACGCCTTATAACTTCTGGCACGTGACGAGGCATAACTTTACACCAAGTACAAAGAAATTATCTGAACAAAGCATTGATCTGCTTCAGAAAAAAAATATACCAAATGTTCATCCTTTTATACAAAACAGGTATATATGTGTGTTTTGAAGAGCAAATGCTCAAAACAACTTATACAATCCAGAATAACACCTTGTACATGTTTGTTCAATCATACGTTACTTTCTCTGTTACTACTCCGGCATTTACTCAATAACTACTCCAGGCATGTAGACAATAACATCAATATAGAACAGTATGCAAACATTCTGACCAAGACTTTATGATGTTTCTGACTTGACCTACTTCTGACATAAAATATTTTTTTACTTGACCTGCTATTGACATACGACTTTAAGAATACGAGTACTGATGAAATGAAAGTTAAACATAAGCCAAACCACAGGATGGATTGATTAAATTATGCTACATTCAGTCTACCAGACTTTTGTATTTACCGTTTGAGTCTCCTTTAAAACTTCTTGCAAGAAGATGTGTATCTTGAATGTGAAATCACTGATGGAAGACATTTATATTGAATGTGAAATCACTGATGGAAGACATTTATATTGAATGTGAAATCACTGATGGAAGACATTTATCTTAAAGATGAAATCACTGATGGAAGACATTTATCTTGAATGTGAAATCCTTGATGGAAACATGCACTTTGAAGATGAGGTTATCATTTTCGTGCATTTTTTTTTAAGTCTTAAGTTTGGTGAAGACTTAAAGTCTGTTTAAATTTTGTTTTCTCATTCTTAATGGCGTGATGCTATTGGCTGAAGACTATTTATCCCATAAATCAAACAGCATTTTATTAAGCTGTAAATGATATAAATACTAACAATGAACAATCACCATCTCCACATTCTTAAAAAACCAAACTTGAATAAAAATAAAGTGTAATTACTCAACATTACTTACTCGACATTACTTACTCGTTGACTACTCGACATTACTTACTCGTTAACTACTCGACATTACTTACTCGTTGACTACTCGACATTACTTACTCGTTAACTACTCGACATTACTTACTCGTTAACTACTCGACATTACTTACTCGTTAACTACTCGACATTACTTACTCGTTAACTA